CCTACGATCTGGGTTGTTTGTTGCTATAGAGGTCTGGAGAGCTGCATTGGTTTGAGTTAGGTTTTCTTGGGGACAAGCAAACGGTTAAGTGTGGGGGAGTTTGATAGACCGTTAATTACACATGTTTTTACCCCTGTTCTTACACCGTTTGAGATGTGGTTTCTCGTGTTTTAGACCGATTTCATGCTAGGTTGTGCTTGTTTGTGATATTTCAGGTCCTGGAAAGTGAATGAAGGTTTAGGAGAGAGCTCGGGGTCGATTGGGCGAAGATCGGGCGCGAGGCAAGTCACAAAGGAGGCCACACGGGCACACCCACAAATCACACGGCCGTGCAACTCATATTTCTGGCCGTGTGAGATTGTGCGAGAGCAAACACGGCCTGCCCTGACAACACACACGGCCGTGTGAAGGAGTGGCTTGGCCGTGCGAGTTTTGCCGAGAGCAAACACGGGCAGATGGAAGTCACACACGGCCGTGCCACTCTGGCCGTGTGAGAAGCCTGGAATTCGACTAAGTGATACGGTGCGTTTTGCCTCACACGGGCAACTGGGTAGGCCACACGGCCGTGTGGCCCTGCCCGTGTGAGTCGGGATTTCCTGGTTTTAAGCCAAATTCCGAACCAAAGAGGAGGGGAGCTGGGTTTTTGGATCCCAAACACCCAAGGGACGAACCAAAGAGAGAGAGGGCGATTTGAGGGCATTCTTGGAGTAGAGAAGGAGGATTTCTTCGCCTTGGAAGCTTGAGGAACAAGCCCGGACTTGAAGACTGATCATCTGAAGATTCTTACTGCAGTCTCTCTATTCTCTATGGAGTAACTTCCCTTCACTTAGGTTTTGAGGAACCCTAGCTATGTTTGTTTGATTGGATGATTGTATGAGTACTCTGACTTGATAATCTTGAGTTCATATTCAATCTATGCATGTTTTCATGATTCAATTCTGCTTTAGTCGAGATTATTGATTCTGCTTTGATCCTATGAGAGGGAATACCTGATTAGCTCAATAGAGCACTATAGATTGATAGTAGTGGATCGATTGCTTTAGTCAAGGGTTGATTCACTGCTTTGTATCGATTGAGAACCTCTTTCGATAGAGGGAGTCTAGTTCAGAACGCCTTGATCAGTTGTTCTAGAGAAGGATACGTCCCTCTAGGCAATTGACTCAAGAGGGCCTTGTTCCTTTAGTCGAGACTCAAGGTCTAGTCAAGGATTCTCCGCATTGTGAATGAAAGTGAAACAGGTTAGAGATCATCAATCATTAATCTGGCTAGTGGCTAGGGGGAATCATACCTAAGTGAGTTCCCAACCTGTAATTAGATTAACTTTAACTGTAGTTTGCTAGAGTAGTTTTAGTTCTTTCATCTTAATCTGATTTGCTAAATAATAAACTGAAGCTGAGTAATAGTAACTCTAGAGACCCGTGGATTCGATATTTATCACTTGAGCCACTATACTGCAGTCCCTTTCATTGGTTACACTTGGCCTTTGTTAGGTGTTGTGTTTTAGAGCATCAGTTCACGTAGTAGTGAATGAGAGAATATAGTTGAGAGGATGAAATACACACTAGCTTATATTTCGGTATTGATCGGTATTTCGGTATATACCGATCTCAATCCCGTAATCCATAATACCGAATAACAATTGAAATTCAATCTCAATCCCAATCCCACATAATAATAAGTGTACTCGATAATACCAAATATAAACGAGTTTTGTACAATATTCAATATATCGCACGTACCGATACCAAACTTCCAGCCTTACCCGCCTCAAGGCAACTAGTTTGTTCATTAAGCTTTGTTGGTTGTAATGAAAGCTTTAATTAGTTATTTAGTGTGTGGAATTTGTGTTGTGTAGTTTAATTCAGTGTCACATGCAGAGCAGCATTTGTATCCCTAAGACAAAGGGACGGAATCACCGTGTTGCGTGCGTACGGGTTGGAACCTTCACTACAAGGCATCTTCTTTAATTAGCAAAATACACGCTCTTCCAAACATAATAACTAGCTTGCCAAGCTACCGAGTAGGCGAGTAACTGTGTCATTAAGGACCTGTGGGATGAGTAATTGAGTACACATAATACAGTTTTGTTATAATAAACAAGATCGTCTCATACTAGTTAATTTGCAAAAATTTAATGAATATTGCTAACGTCTCATTAATTATGAATTATTTGTGGCCTTGCTATTTATTAGTAAAACTTATCACGACGTATATGCTATCAAAAACTCAACTCATAATCCACATCATCTAACACTATACATTTTTTTGTTTATCAAGGGAAGATGTCAGTTTATTACTTCATAATCACAAATCCAACAAGGCATGAAGCTCCTGGATCCCAGGATAGGAAAATGAACTCAACTTGTCAATACAAGAGCTTATCAAGGAATCAAACTTGTTTAAGCTAAAACCTCGCAATTGCTCACCATTTTTTTCCTTCCACCTTGATGGACTTGCGCCAAAGGAATTATAATGGCAGGTTTAATTTGAGGCGCACTTAGATGGAATTTTAACAATCTATCTCCTTTAAATGGGTTCTACCCATTCGCACACTAGATCGTCGAGTTGATGGTCATGCACTCGACATAGAATTGCCTAGGTGGACGTCTAATAAGCAGGGTACAATCACCTCATCCACCATATTAGACTCCTAGATCATTCATCTACTCCTAACAAACCAAGGCGCTCGAATCCACTTAAATTCATGCATTCCTAAGCAGTAGGCTACCATGAAAGGAATTGGAGAGACAAGCTCAAACATAATTAATCATAGATGAAGCATAAAAATCTAGGCAAACTCAACTCATCCATAAATGACAAGAAAGATAATGAATAATCACCTACCACCTAAGTTGCAACTAGGGCAAACGGGATACAGACAATCCCACACTACTTTATGTAAAGAAAGACAATCATCAAATAGACATAGGGTAAATAGGTTCATATATTTGAAAAATCTAGCTTAAAACATCCTATTACATATTAAATCCTAGGTTAGGGTTTGAGGGACAAAGTCCCAAAGTACCTTGAGGTATTAACCCATGAAGAGGAGGAGAAGAGACATGCAAAGGTGAGAAGAAATGACGAAGAAAGGTCTTCAAGTGCTGGAAATCCTCCTCCAAAGCTCTCCACTTATTCTCGAAGCTTTTACTTCTCTCTCTAACCACACACCAGAACAAGAAATCTACCAAAAGCCACTCTACTCAAGGGGAGAGACCCCTATTTATCATGGTAAAGGAAACCGTACCGAAAGTCATACCGGACTCGTCTGTGGTATGGTATTTTGTGGTATGACTGTGGTTAAACTGTTATGTACCGGTAAAATACCATTTTTGTATTAAAAAATATTGTTTTGTTAAAAAACCGTACCGGCAGATTCAGGATACCGTTTCGGAGTAATACCGAAATATACCTGATAACAAATAGGGATGGCAATGGGTCGGGTTTTGCCAAACCCAAACCCAAATCCATGGGTTTATCCGTGAAAAAAACCCGGGGTAAAACCGACTGGGTTTGAAAAACTCAAACCTAACCCAACCCGCTTGGTATCCGCGGGTTCATGGGTACCCACGGGTTTTTGTTGTAAAAAGTTTACAATAACAAGTTTCTATTAAAATTAAAGTCAAATATCAATCTCTCAATACAAATTATCCATATATAAAGCACCATTCTAGAAAATTCAAGCAAATCACAAATTAACTATACAAATTGTTCAACACCAATGTAGAAAACTCAAGAAAATTGAAACAAATCACAAATTATTCATAAATAACATGATTAATTGAAAGCTTATTCCTTTCAATTAAGTTTCTTCACTCTCCACTCGATAACATCAACTTCATTCTACACAATTAGAAAGAAAAAATTAGAAATATCTCCACAAACATAAATAAGATTAGTTGTTTAGATTATTAAATATACCAAGAAAATTAATTATATGAGTGGACGGGTACCCATGGGTCGGGTTTACCTAAACCCAAACTCAACCCAACCCGATGAATAGTGAACTGGTTTAAACCCAAACCCGGCCCAAAACCCGTCAACACGGATCTAGCTGTTCTAGTAAGCGGGTACACAATCTCTACAACGGTTCTATCACAGATAACTATATAGAAACTGGAGCAACCCTTGTACTTGAAAACTAGGAAATGCCCATATCTCAATGAGTGAAATTCTGCAAAATATTGCCAACCATTCATAAACCAGACCCCAAATTCATCCCTCACCAGACCCACCGTCCAACCCAATTGGGACCTTCATAATTGCAGAGGAAAAACCCTCCCCGCAATTTGTGACGAACCTCGAAGAAATCAACTGCGAAATGAAGCATGCATGTTGAAAATGAAAGATTGAACACCCCAAAGCCAGCTTCCTGTTTTGGCAAGTGGATAAGAAATGGGGAGGGAGAGATTTGTGCTTACGAGCTTCTTGTCGCGAACGATTTACTGGAGAATGATTTTCAATAAACGAGCTTCTTGTCTTCATGTCGAGCAGGCGGCGCGGATGAGGAGGAGAGAAGAGGAGCGGCAGAGCGAATCAGGGGTCGACGCAATCGCCAGGGAGCGGTAGACCGGCAGTCGCGGGTTTCCTCTTTGCTTTTTCCGGTCACACGTCGCCACTCATAGTCGCTAGAGGAGAAGAGGAGTGGTCGGCGGGGCTGGGGAAAGGAAACGACGAAAGGAAAGGGCTCCCAGATGACCATATTAGGGTTTTTGAGTTTTTGCCTTTTTGGCCTTTGGCTGATTTTTTTTTTTAATTTCCAGTCAGAGAACGGTGATGTTTCCTTCTAGTGAGCCTACCGTCGGTTAGACCAAAGCCGGGCGGTATTTTTGTTTGTACTGGTTAAGCCTGAAAAATTGGTCGGGACGATTTTCTGAAGCTAACCAGCCTACCATATCGTGCTTGGTCTGGTTTCCGTTTTTTCCGATTGAACCGGCCGGTACGATCCGGTTTCCTGGTCCATGCTATTTATAGAGTTTTGTGTAATGCGAGCAAGTTCACGGGCACGGGCAGAAGATTGCGACTTGTTATCTTTGGTAAAAGGTCATGATCTTGAGATGACACCATTCTCGATCCGCTGATGTGGGAGTTCGCGGCTGGTTTTCGCGGTCGTGATCCCAAAGTCGCGGCCACGATCTCGTCTCGCAGTCTGGGAAGTGAAGGCTCACAAGTCGATTATCAAAAGTTTCTGTCTTTCTTTGATGACAGCTTCTCCAAGTTCACGGTTGCATCCGTAAAGATTGTGGGCGTGAAATTTGGCTTGAGGCCGCGATCTTTCTTATGGACTTTGCGGTCTCCATTATCCCATTCGTGATCTCCGTTTTGGCCCCAATTTCCTGCACTTGTGATCCATTTTCGTACCTAAAATGTTTGTATCAAGCATATGGACTGTTTCTGCCTGTCAGAGCAGCTCCTGGGCTTGGAGACGTATTCTCAAGATACGCCCTCTAATCCAACCTTTACTTTTGGTAAGTAACACTCAAATTCTTTGGGACAATAAACCTATGCCTGTGTTTAAAGTTTCTGTAGTTTGGAACACCTTGCGAATCAAGTATGAGGTGGTGGACTGGGCAAAGCTTATTTGGGGGGAAGAATTATATTCCCAGAAACAACTTTCTGGCCTGGATGATCATGTTGGATTGTATTGTCACTACACAGAAGCTGATGTAGTGGGGCAAGCAGACTGATGGGTTGTGTGTGTTGTGTGGTAATGAAGTAGAAACTAGAGAGCACTTATTCTTTGCATGTGGTTTTTCTCGTCGAGTTGTTATGACACTGCAAATGGGGGGATTCTGTTGTAGCTCCTGGGAAGCTACTGTTGTTGCAAGTATTGCCAGTTGCAGGAGGCCGAAGCTGGAGAGAGTGACCAGTTTGATCTGGTGCTTATGCTGTGCTGAGATTTGGAAGGAAAGATGCCGGCGAGTTTATGGTAATGCAAGGAAAACAATAGAGGACTTAGTTCGGGAAGTTACTGTTGAATTGCGGATTATTTGTAATGATAATGAACTCTTACTTGAAGGTCTGCAGCTGCTTGGATTGCAGGGGAGTGAGTAGGGGATAGGTAGCTGCTGGTAGTTTTTGTGGGGTACGTGGCAGGGGGTAGAGTTTTTTTCTCCTTCTGCTTTTTAGGGACCCAATTACTCGCCCGGGCTGCTGACTAAACCCGGCCGAGAACTTTGACATCATCATCACCTTACTGAAGGTGCATTAAAAAATTTTAATTGCAGCAGCGGTCTGTGGACATTCGTCAGTTGCTGTTCCCTCCTTCCCCTTTCCCTCAAAAAACAACAAACTTGGCTCTCTCTCCCTCTGCAAATCTCTGCTTCCATTCCGCCTCCCAGAGACCCTCCCACTTTCAAACGGTAACATTCACTCCAATCCCAAATATCTTTCTATTTTCGAAACGAAACATCGCACTTCGCTCCCCGTATCCTCTGTTCAGTTTTCGCTCCCAAATCGCCCTCCTTCAAATTTCCCGGCCCTTCTAGACTCTAGAGATCACACCACTGCTGATTCAGTCATGCCTCCCAACTCTTTCTCTTCCCTGCTTCTCACTGTCCTTCTGGGACTCTTCCTTCCGCCCCGTCTGTGGGCACAGCAGAAGGGGATTGGCCCTAGGGATCTATGGTGCGTCGCCAAGAACAACGCGGCCGACGCCGCTCTGCAGTCGGCCATCGACTGGGCCTGCAGCGCCGGCGGCGCCAATTGTGCTCCCATTCAGCAAGGCGGGCCGTGCTACGACGCCGGAGACATCCAGAGGACGGCTTCCTGGGCTTTCAACGACTACTACTTGAAGAATGGCATGACCGACGATGCCTGCGACTTCACCAACACCGCGGCCGTCACTTCATTAAACCCTAGTGAGGATTCCTGATCTCCCCTTTTCTCGAGATCTGCTTTCGGCGTTGCTGCTTTTGAATGGTCGGTTTGACCGGTCGATCGCTACTTTCCCTAACTTTCTGCTCTGCCAATGCTTCGATTTGCTCCGAGTTAGATGCGGTTGATTTTTCTTGCAAAGTTTGACCTGCGCTTCTCTCTGTTGGTGTTTCCTTTTCCCCGTTTTCCAGGTCATGGCAGTTGCAAGTTCCCATCAAGGTAAATGTCTCACTTTGACTTGGATCAATAGGCAAGCAAGTCCTTGGTTCGTGAAGGACACAAAGAGGAATGCACTAATAAATTAAGATTCATTTCTTGTGGGATATATTGCAGCTCCGGAGTGAAGAATGGGAGTGCTTCTTCAACTGCTACAGCGGTAGGAACGGGGCCGGCGGACAGTGCAGATATGAGCAGCTGCAACCGCATTGCAGCAACAGCAGCAGGTAGCACATGGTTTTGGGGATTGTTGGCCGGATGTTTGATTCTCCTGTTGTTTAGATAGGAGAGAAAGAGATTGGTAATTGGCAGAATCACATGGTTTTATTATTAGCGCATCTGAAGTTAACATTATGGGTTGGCAATGCATTTTCGCTCAAGGTTTATTTGGATTAGAGAAAGATAAGAAGAGAAGAGACGATCTTTAAGCGTACAGTGATAGCTGATCTGCAAGAAGCTCGTGCTACTGTGGAATTGAACATATCATCATCTCATGTTGCAGCTTGTTTGTTTTTAATGCAGCTTAGGTGGACTCTCTTTTTGGCCTTTGAATGATGAACATAGCATTAGAATTTCTTTTCTTCGATTGAATCGGTTTCGCAGTAAGCTTAAATGTGAGTACGCAAACACGTACTCAATGTTTCCAAAACAATATAGGGCGGAATTCCAAGAGGTTTCCAAGAGGCATAACCTAGGCAATAACCAAGTAAAGCTTCCTCTCAACTATACTATTATGTCAACTATCTACAATACATCAATCAATATGCAAGACCTGCAAATACACCACGACGTTGTCCCTTTAACGTGCCAACAACTGAAGGTCTCTCAATAGTGGAATGATTGGAGCCTTGGGTGCAAGTAGGGCGGGAAGTTTGGTACTGATATTTGGAATAATACTGAATACCGTACCGAATTTGTCTATATTTGGCATTACCGAATACATGTATTATTTTTTGGGATTGAGATTGGGATTGAATTTCAATTGTAATTAGGTATTACAGATTACGAGATTGGGATCGATATATACCGAAATACCGATTAATATCGAAATATAAGATAGTGTGTATTTGATCCTCTCAACTAGACTCTCTCATTCACTACTACACAACTCTCAACCACCAAGAGTGTCATTTACTTATGCATAGATCATTTCATCTTTGTTTCACAACTCAAAAGTCCCCATCCAATTCAATTTTGACTTTCCAATTTAAGTCACTCTCATCTCTCATCTAATAACTTGTTATTTTCATAACACCAAAAAACAAACACTAGTATTAGTCGACTCTCGGCTTTTACTTCGTCAAATTAAAGATTACCTATGACAAGAACTTGAGATGTCGCCTCTCCTTCATTCTCCTTATCCATATCCTAGATCTAGGCAAACTCAAGACTCTTTGCTTAGTCTATTTGCCCTAAATTAAGCAATCAAATCTAATTTATATTTTTATTATTTATTTCAAATGTAATTAATTTCGTATTCGATAATTTAGTATTCGGGATTAGGATTGGGATACTGAAATTATTTAGGAATTGACATTGGGATATCGAAATTATTTAGGAATTGAGATTGTGATTAACTTTCGGGTATAATTTGGTATTCATGATTTTAGTATTTGGTATTAGAATACCGATACCGTACCGATTTCCACCCCTATTTGGTATTTGGCTTTGACCGTGACCTTTGGTAAGCTCCTCTTCTCGATTGGTTTGGCTTATGATAAATAAAAGGGTTCAAAGTACATGGAGGAACATATAAGCTCTATTATAACAATTTGTGCTTCTATCACTAAAAATACCAACCTTAAGCTAGAGTGCCATCTATTATGAGATTTTGTTTACCATCTATTATGAGATTTTCAATATGGCAATACTAAATCATTTTTTTAGTTAAATTTCTTTTAGAAGTTAACAAAATACAGCCCATTCGCCTCCAATAATATATGGTAGACTTTTATGTACTTTCTCCATTTCAAATTTCATACAATGAGAGTGAAAGTACCAAGGACATTTGTCTTTACAATTAATTCCCGTAGAATCTTTTCGCACTAAGACCTCGTTCATGGCCTTGCGAAGTACAAGTAGAGGACTTCATTATTCTCGGGGGGGGGGGGGGGGGAGTATTGGGGGATTTATAAGGGGTAGTTTTTAGCTCATCGAACGCCCTCTCACACTAAGGGGTCCACATAAAAGTGTTACACCCACCTTTAACCGTAGCAAAGAACGGAGGCACATCTATCACCGGCCCTGGATATAAAGCGATTGAGGATCGCGATGCGCCCGATAAGTACTTGAACTTCTCGACCATTGGTGGGAGGAGGCATTTGAAAGATTGCATCAATCTGACGAGGGTTGGTCTAGATCCCTCATTAGGTGAGATGAAACCTAGGAACTTGCTAGTGGTTGCACCAAAAACACACTTTTTTGATTGAGGCGGAGGTTATATAAGCACATAGTAGTGAGCGCTCACCTCAATATTCTTTATCAAGATGTTATCGATGCATGCTTCTACATTCCTCTCTAGTTAGCGGGCAAAAACTCGATCTACCATGCATTGGTACGTGGCGACGACATTTGTTTAACAGAAGGGCATAACTTCGTAACATTAATTTCTGATAGGTGTCATGAAAGTTGTATTTCTTGATCTTCTTCCTTCATTGGAATTTGGTGGTACCCGGAGAACATGTCGAGTAAGGTGAGAAACTGCTGTCATGAGGTGGCATCAATGAGCTGATCGATTTTCGGGAGAGAATATAGATCCTTCAGCCATGCCTTCTTAAGGTTGGTGAAACATACGCCACTAACCATTCTTTTTATCATGACGATGTTGGACAACCACGTCTAGTACAGAACTTCCCTACTAAACCGACCTTAAGGAGTTTCGTGACTTCTTCGGCCACCACCTGGTGTCTTTCCCTTGCAAAGTACGCCGCTTTTCTGGATTGGGCGGCCACTAGGAACTATTTTGGGCGTGTTTTCGGCCACCCGAGGGTGGACGCCAGGCATATCTTTTGGTCCCCAGGAGAATACTTCTTCAAATTCCTAGAGTAATGAAAGGAGGGACTGGAGTGACTCTCGTGGCCAGGCGTTCGATATGAGAATTGTGCGCTCATCAAAAAGTGAGAATAGAGTGCAACATTGTCTTTTTCTCCTGGCATAGAGTGCAACATTGTCGTGCTAGAGCTTGGTCTCCTTGCATACACCCAACACCGGCTTTAGTGGGGAATTTGAGGCAGAGATGGAAAGATGATGAAATAGTAATAACATTGAATTTGCACGTGTTTTTTCTGTCGTTTCTTGATCGTTTAAACTTGCATTATATTTCTTTGTCTCATTTTACTCTAAATTGTGTTCATTTTATCATATTTCATGTCCTAGAGCGTGAATGAAGGCTTAGGAGCAAGTTTCAGGTTAATCAAAGATTGTTGGGCTACTTGGAGGAAGAAACTCGCGCATGACCCAAAGATAATGAATTTCTGCCTCATTTTATGGGCAAATAATCATGTAAACTTGGCATGAAAAGAAAGATGACGAGACTACGAGCGTATGATATCAAACGAGGATTGATTCAGAGTTTGGACGAGGGAGAACGAACCCAAAAATCAAAGATAGGGAAATGATTAGCAGCCTACTCCCAAGTTACGGGTTGGCCTTTAAAGTTATGACGTCATTTTTGGCCGTAACTAGGGTGACACGCTACGACACAACTCCTAACAATGGCCAAGTGTAACCAATGAAATGGACTGCAATATAGTGGCACAAGTAATAAATATCGAATCATTGGGTCTTTAGAGTTACTATTACTCAGCTTCAGTTCATTATCTAGCAAACCAGATTAAAGATTGATTAACTAAACTACTCTATTAACTAAACTAAGTAAAACTACTAATTAGAGGTTGGGAACTCACTTAGGTATGATTCCCCCTAGCTCCTCAATTAGGTCCAAGTTGTAATTTCTTTTGGTTGCTTTACTGTTGATTAAACTGCAGAAGATCCGATAATAGCTTGGAATCTCTTAAGCTGACCAAGCCCTCTTAGACAGAATACCTGACGGGCGACTAACCTACACCAGAGTACAAAGCAAAGGCAATACACAAAGATCTCTATTACTGGAATGAATTCCAGTATAAAGCAGTGATTTGACTGACTCTCGTACAATCAATTCCCTACTACCAATTGAGAAAGATCTCTTAACCCAATCAGATTCTATCTATCATAGGTTTTTGCATAAATCAAAAGGAAAGTGAACAAGATTCAATTGGCTCAACAATCATGCCTCAATTGATTAAAACCATTCAGTATAACATCCAAAGTTTCTAACAAGAAAGATCCTAACACATGGAACTAGGGTTCCTCAAAATCTAAGTGAAGGGAAGTTACTCCATAGAGAAGAGAGAGATTACAGTATAACTTTCCAGATCTTCAATCTTCATGTCTAGACTTGTTCCTTTAGCTTCAATGGTGAAGAATCAAAATATCTCCAAGGATGACTCTAGATCGCTCTCTCTCTCTGGTTCGTCCCTCGGGTGTTTGGGATCCAAAACCCAGCTCTCTCTCTCTCTCTCCAAAAATCGCAAAACAACTTTTATACCCGCCGAGATTCGCACCCCCTACTTGCCCGACCGTGCAATTTGGGGTTTGGTCGTGCAAACCTCCTGGAAAACTCACACAGACGTGCACAATTTCCAGCATGCACTCCTAAGCTTCGTTGAGCTCGTTTGACCTCCGATTCAGGTGTCGTGATCCGAGATGCTCGTAGTCTCGTCCTATTTCTTTTCATGACAAGATTACATGATTATTTTTCAATAAAATAAGGTAGAAATCCATTCTTCCTCATGTCATTCTCGAGTTTCTCCCCCCGAGTCGCCAATTGATCTTCGATTGACTTGAAACTTGCGCCTAGACTTCACTTTATGTGCTAGGACCTGAAATGTGACAAATGAACACAACCTAGCATAAAATAGGCCAAGAAAGCACAAACTCGAGCCAAAACGATCAAGAAATGAGTGTGCAAAGATGTGCAAATACGACGTTATCATCGGGCCACAGTTGGCAGAATGCATTTCAGAGGTTACGGCTTGAACCCCAAAGGTTACGGGCGTAACTCGATGTCGTAACTTGGCTTCTAAGAGCTATTTAAATGTGTTTTTGTGGATTTTGAAGGGAGAGAGCTGAGTAGTGGATCTCAAACACACAAGGGACAAGCCAATGAGAGAGAGAGAGAGCGATTTGAGGGTAATCTTGGAGTGGAATTGGATAATTTCTTTGCCTTGGAAGCTCGAGGAACAAGCCTAGAAATGAAGATTGAAGATATGGAAAGTTATACCGTATTCTCTCTCTTCTCTATGGAGTAATTTCCCTTCACTTAGGTTTTGAGGAGCCGTACGTATGTTTGTTAGGATAAGAGTTGTACGAACCCATATTCATGATTGGTTGACATTATATATGCAATTGAGATGTTTATTCACAATTTCATGAGTCTTAGTCTTGATCACATTCTTGCAATTGCAGCTTTGACCTAGAATGATAGTCTCTGAATAGGTTAATAGAGCAACCTAAATTGGAAGTAGTGAATCGATTGTGTGAGAGTCAGTCTATTTATTACTCTATACTAGTGAATCATACCTAAGTGAGTTCCCAATCTGAATTAGTAGTTTAACCTAGTTTCACTTGTCAATTAGTTTGGTTAATTAAACCTTAATATGCTTTGATAAATAATAAAGTAAAGCTAAGTAATATAACTCTAGAGTATAGACCCGTGGATTCGATTTTTATTACTTGTGCCACTATACTGCAGTCCCTTTCATTGGTTACACATGGCATTTTGTTAGGAGTTGTGTTTTAGCGAGTCAGATAACCCTAAGTTGATGGAGAAAAGGCCGATCGAGAATACAATAGTAAGCTGACGGACAATCAACAACATGAAAGTGGATGAAAGTTTCAGCAGTATGTTCACCACTCTCAATCTGAAGACAAAGTGGTAGGGTCCTGATCATAGGCACTTGGGATCTAGAGCACCCGTAAGGCAGATCTCTGTTGGATGGCACTATTCAGGGTGATATTCCAAGGATAGGTAGGCGGCGTAAAAAAGTAGGTCCACTGATCTTCCCCCATCCACTAAGATTCCCTTGGCCTTGTAATTGGCTATTATTGCCTTTATTACCAATGGGTCATCATGTGGTGTGCAACTCTTTCTAAATCTTGGGAGTCAAATGAGATTTGGAGTAGGGGTGGACATTCATTCAGTTCGGTTTGGACCAAACCGAACTTATGTATTCTGGGTTCCCGATTACTACCAGACCTCAAATCGATTCCGAACCGGAATATATTTCGGATCGGTCCGGTTTCACCCCCAACACCGAAAACTTTTCCTTTCCATTTGTAAATGATGGATCTGCTTCTGCTACAACCATTATTGTCCCCCCTCACCCTCTCTCTCTTCTCGTCCATTTTTTATTTTTTCTCTCCATTCTCTCTCCTTTATTCCAATCTACAAATCCCCTACTCTCCACCATTTTCTTCTTCTTCTTCTTCTTCTTCGGCTGCTGCTGCAACCATTATTGTTTCCATCAGTCTGCGACCATCGTCCCCAGAAGAAGCTTCACCGCCCACCATCACTTCTTCTCCCCTCTGTTGCCTTCTTCTTCTTCTTCTTCTTCTTCTTCTTCTTCTTCTTCTTGGATTTAGATGCATGTGGGTTCTTTATGTTTTGAATTGGGTTTCTGGTTTCGAGGAGGTCGACCGAGAACAAAGGGGGATGTGGTGATGGTGATTTTGTTTTGATTGATTTTTTGGGTTGAATGGCAGGCGAGGCGAGGAGAAGAACAGAGAGAAGGGGGCTTGTTGCTGTTGCTCTGCTGGCAACTGGGGAGAGTGGAGAGGCAGTTAGGACTTAGGGGTGGGATTAGGGTTAGGAGTTGGGCTGGCTGGTGATTGATAAAGAGTGGGCAGGGTTGGTATTGGTAAAGGGTGGGCTGATGATTAATAGTTAGTGGACTGAGGGAGTTAGTTGGGCTTGGGGGAAGAGGGTGGACTTGTTTAGTCTATAGGATTTTTAATTTAATTCGGTTGGTCGGTTCGGTTTGTCGGAATTCGGATTCGGTGTGCAGACCCTAGGTTCCGAAATAATGAGTTTTGCCTTCCGAATTCTGAACCGAATTACAACATTCGGTTTTGGTTTAGTTTTGTTTCGGTTCAGTTCTGTTCGGGTTTACCGAACCGTATGCCCACCCCTAATTTGGAGGAGTTGATGTTGTTGCTCAAGTGGAGCCCATAATAGCTTGGGGGTTTGTCGGAGGCGATTTATTTGGTATCCCCCCGAGGCCTTCTCACCCATGGATGATCTCGATCGGTGGGTGGGGGGGCTCTCGGGAGTGTTCTATTGAGCATTCGACGCAAGGTTTGTGCATTTCCCAAATGGTATTGAACAAAATTCATTAAAAATGCACAGTCTTTTAATAAACTATGGAAATCAAGGATGTGAAGACAAAAGTCATATGGATGGAGATTTCTCTCCCCAAGCCCAAGACTTGTGCACTTCCAAAACACTCTTCAGTCTTCACCAACATTCAATATATGAAGTCTTCTAATAAACTCACTAAGAATAAGAATGAGTATTGATCCTGTGCATACCAAGCTTTCCCCACCGAAAGCTTTAGATTTTCGCCAACAAGGAAGGCAATTGATGAAGCCAACATAAAAAACTATTTTAATGTAGTCTGGGCCCAACACTACCCCCGACAACCGGCGCCAGCCAACACAAAATCATACCTTAGCTCACGATTTCAATCGGTAACGAGATCCTCCCTCCGCCCGGCTCTTAGCGGCCGAGCTCGCTATCACCCCTGGCTCCTGATACCCGCCTACGCAGTATTGCCTCCAGGCTTGATTTTGCTCGCGACGCCCGGGCCCGCTATCGCCCATGGCTCCTGGTACGCCGCCGACGAACTATTGCCCCGAGCTTGATTTTGTCCCTGACACCCGGGTTCTGCCTCCCAGCTCTTGACGCTTGGGCTTGTTATCGTTCCCGCTCCTGGTACCTAATGACGCACTGTTGCCCCTGTGCTTGATTTTCCCCCGACACCCGGGCTTTGCCTCTCGTCCAGCTAATGTCGCCCGGGTCGAGATCCGAGACTAACTTGAGCGTCGAAGGGTGCCCACGTCTAGATCGGCCGGCAAACCCTTTTTTGTAGGAAGCAATCAGAGGCCATATCAAGAAGAAATGTTATGATGAAGGGGCACATAAAACTGCTTCGGTGCCCAAGATAGAAGAAGTTGACGTCAGCTACAACCCCTACACAACACTATGTTTCAATGAATTTAATTAATAAAAAGTTAATTTATTAAATATTTTACGAATTTAACAGTTAAATATTGATTTTATTTGTTGGATTCAAATATCAATGTTAGATATTGACATTAAATATTTTATATAAATATGAGTATTTAATATTTTATTTGGAATGTTGTATTTTATTTAAATACGAATATGAATGGTAAGTAAATTATATTCAAATATATTCTATATATGATTAAATTTATTTGATGTTAATGATTTTCATATTTTTATATATTTTGACATCAACCGACAAAAATCAATTATATAACAAGTCGAACCATTCCATTTGTTAAAGTGACACACTTGAAAAAAAAGAATGACACAACAATATAGACCGATTTGGACTTGACACACTGCAGTTAGAATTAGTGCGTTGGAATCACGCTAATCGAAAATCGCGTGAGCGCAGCTTATCTGGTTGGTTGGTGCCATCGATACTTGCTGAGCACGACACTTTCACGCACGGACGCATACGCACCGTCCACCTGTAAGATAAGGGTTACAGTGAGAGACGGCAAAGAAGAGGGGTAGCAGTTCTAGAGAGAGAAATTGAAAAACTGAGCTTCCGAGAGAGAGAGAGAGAGAGAGACAGAGAGAGAGGCAGTGTCGTTTGCTAGAGAGAGAAACCCTCTTTTTCTTCCTTAGAGAGAGAAAGTGAAAAAGTTGCGAAAGAAAGAGAGGGAGCGGAAGAGGAGGATCTGATCGTCCTGGAAGAGGTAAAGGAGCTTCAAACCCTAACTGTTCTTCGAATATCAGATCTATTCGCTCCTTCTCTCCGTCGCCCTTTCTCTTCATCCTGTCTCTTCCTCCGCTTGTCTTTCTGTTTCTGTTAGTTAGGGTTTCGTGTTTGGGCTGGAAGATTTAGGCGGTAGTAACTAGGTCTGAAGAAAAAGTTCGGTCTTTGCTGATTTTACGGTATTTTGGCTTTTTTGCCGGATTGAATTAGGTGTTCTTGCGACAATTAGGGTTTTGCGGTGGCTGGAGATTGTTTGGCTGAAAAGCCCTGGTTTTCTGTGCCAATATTATGTTTCGAAGATAATCTTGTAGGGAAGACGGAAAAAGAGAGAGAGAAAGGGGAGAGTAAGTACGAGAAAAAGGAAAAGGGTAGTTAGGGTTTTGTAGTTACATGTATGGCGTCAGGGTCTGCTGTTGGAGGGGAAGGAGGAAATGATGGACCTAAAGAGAAGCCAAGGTACTCGGAGAGCAAAGTCTATACGAGAAAATCCTTCAAGGGTTTACGGAATAACTTAACCAACAACAGCAACACGAAGGAAACCACAGCCAACGGCACTACCCTTAATACCGCTGTTACCACCACAGCGACTGCACCACCAACTTCAGCTACAACCAATCAGAACGGAAGTAACGAGAACAAGGCTGCTGACGGTGACTCAATTAAAGTTTCTGAACCACTAGCCTTGGTATTAGAAGACACAAGTTCTGCTCAATCACAACTACAGTCAGAGCCAGAGCCACAGCCACGTGATGATAGCTCGATTCATGTTTCTGAATCTCAAGCCTTAGTCTCAGAAAATGCAGATTCTGCCAAGCCACAGATTGCTGCCTCGGTTAGTGTTTCTGAACCGCAAGCCTTACTGTCAGAAGACATTGGTTCTACCCTTCCTGGTTGTGGCTTGAATGAAGTTTCTGAACCGCAAGTCTTGGTATCAGCAGACACAGGTTCCACACAGCGGACCCCGGACGGTGAATCTATTAGAGTTTCTGAACCTCAAGCTTCAGTGTTAGAACACTTAGATGTTAGTGTTTCTGAACCGCAAGCCTTACTGTCAGCAGACATAGGTTCTACCCTTCCTGGTTGTGGCTTGAATGACGTTTCTGAACCGCAAGCCTTGGAATCAGCAGACACAGGTTCCACACAGCGGACCCTGGACGGTGAATCTATTAGAGTTTCTGAACCTCAAGCTTCAGTGTTAGAACACTTAGATTCTGCTCATCCACCGGATGGAGCCTCAATTGAAGATCCACAAACGCAAGTCTTGATGTCAGAGGTCACAGAGTCTGCTCAGCCACAGCAACAACAGGAACAATATCCACTGCAGCCGCCCCAGAAGCAACCCCAACTGCCAGGACTGGGGCAGGAGCAGGAACAACAGGGAGACCAAGTGCACGAGCAGTCAGGGTCACCAAAACAGCCAGAGCCACAGGAGCGACAAGGGGAGCTGTCACAGGAGCTATCAGGGCAACAGAAACAGCCCGAACAACAGGAGCCACCCCCACTGCCTCCTCCCTTACGTGTGGATGTGATCTCAGATGACTCCTCCAACCACCAGAGGCAGCAGGTCGATGCTGCAGCTGGTTTACAGGGGGAGGAAGATCCAGCAAGTAATAGTGCTGGAAAGGAAGCTCTGGAAAGCAGAATAAAGATAAATTTATCTTCAGTTTCCAAGCAGGAGATGAGAGAGATCAGGAGGAAGCTTCAGAATGAACTCAATACTGTGAAGATGTTGGTGAAGAGAATTGAGGCCAAACAAAGTCAGCTTGGTGTTGCCACTATCAGCAGTTCGGTTCCTTTGAGACATAGTGTCCTTGATAGTAGATTGACAAGGGTAAATTCAAATGTAGGATCTGTTGGTGTTCCTCGTGAAGTCACTGCTACTGTTACTACTCCAACACCGAGGCAGACTCGGCCTTTGCATCAGCTTAGTGTATCTGTGCTGGAGAATAATCAGGGTGCAGCTGAGAATGTCGAGAAAGAAAAGAGAACACCAAAAGCTAACCAATTTTACAGGAACTCCGAGTTTTTGCTTGCGAAAGATAAGTTCCCCCCTGCTGAGAGTAATAAGAAGTCAAAATCGAGTAGCAAGAAGCATGGCTCTGATATGGCTTTTCGATTTGGGTCACATACCAAAATATTCAGGAATTGCTCTTCTGTACTTGACAAATTGATGAAGCATAAGCATGGGTGGGTGTTTAATTCTCCAGTTGACGTGGAGGGTCTTCGATTGCATGATTACCACACCATTATCAAACATCCTATGGACTTGGGAACAGTGAAGGCAAGACTGAATAAGAATTGGTACAAGTCACCAGAAGAGTTTGCAGAAGATGTGAGACTTACATTTCATAATGCCATGACGTACAACCCAAAAGGTCAGGATGTTCATATAATGGCTGAACAGTTGCTTACTATGTTTGAGGAAAGGTGGGCTGTTGTGAAGGTGGATTATGATCGAGAGACAAGGCTTGTCCCTTATGATATTGGTTTTCCAACACCTACATCCCGGAAGATTCCTTCACTGTCATTGCCTTCCCTTGATATGAGAAGGATTTTAGATCGATCAGAATCGATCACTTATCCATCTGTTGACATCAGACAGAGACCTGTTGTTACTACTCCATCAGGTAGGACCCCTGCTCCAAAAAAGCCCAAGGCAAAGGATCCGCACAAAAGGGATATGACGTATGAGGAGAAACAGAAGCTTAGTACAAATCTTCAGAGCCTCCCTTCGGATAAGCTGGACAACATCGTACAAATAATTAGAAAGCGAAACTCTGCACTTTTACAACGCGATGATGAGATTGAAGTGGATATTGATAGTGTTGATGCAGAGACTCTGTGGGAACTTGACCGGTTCGTGACCAATTACAAAAAGAGTCTAAGCAAGAACAAGAGAAAAGCTGAACTGGCAATGCAGGCTAGAACGGAAGTGGAGCGAAATGTCCAGCAGAAGGTAAAATCCCGTGCAGTACTTCATGAAATTAAAATTTTTCGGTTGCCAATGTTATGAAATAATTGTTTATGTGCTGTCATTGTTCTTCTAGCAGGCCCTTCTTTCATCTGCTGCTGATCCCCCTAAAGAAGCCAATGAAGGTGAATTTTGTGGATTCTGCTGATTGTTAGTGACTTGGTTGTACTTCATTTTGTTCACTGTGTTATAATCTTCAACTCATGATTGCAGGTGAAAGAAATGTTTCGAATGTGTCTCCTGTACAAGTGGACAGACAAGCAGATAATGGGAGTAGGTCAAGTAGCTCGAGCAGTTCCAGCAGTGGTTCTGGTTCTTCATCTAGTGGTACTGCAGTGTTTCTTTGTTTTGTTTTTTGGCAGATTACGTGTATATTGTGAAGTCTAATCATCTGTGATGCTATCTTCAATGACATGCCTCGTATTTTTGGCAGACTCTGACAGTGACAGCTCCTCAGCATCTGGATCTTGATATAGGGCGCTAACTCTTGGTATGAGTAGTTCAGGTGGGCTCTTATCATCCTGCTATTTGGGCACATGTTGCATATTAGGTCTAAGCAATTTCTGTGAATTCCGTCAATGCTTATCACTTGCTGAGAATACGATCTACAGAGTTTGGTCTTGTAATTACTATTGATTATTGACAAACCATGTTTGTTTTAGGAAGAGTTGGAACTTGGTTTATAATTTTTCGAAGCTGGGTTCGCATGGATGATTGGTCATTGTCTCTCTTCCATGTAATGTACTGGATATCATATTTTAATTTTCTTCCTATATGCCAACCTTTGGTGTCAGCTTTTCCTGGTTAGATCTGGACTGGCCTTTATCTGCACTCGAAGTGGCTTATTACTTGAATTTGAATTTTTTTAGAAAATCTGATTGCTTTAGAGTGCTTCTACTTGGTGTTGTCTTTCCTTTCCAACATATCATACTTTGCAGCTTATGGGAAAAAGGGGTAGATATTGTAGTAGTTTGCTGGAGTAATCATTTGATGTGAGGTGTTTCTGAAGTTTTCTGACTGTTGTTAAATTTTCTGGTGCAGTTGGATGTCAAGAGGTTTAGGAGTAGGTGGCAGGTTCCCAATTCAAATGATTTGGTGTGTTTGAGGCCGTCAATGTCATTAGGGATCTGCATTGTGTGTACAGGCTCAAGATTGGCAATAGTTGTGCCATGGCTGGATAGTGGGTCTGGTTCTCGCAAACTGTTGTCATGTCTGATTTCTTCTATCCACAAGTACCGTATTTTGTTGGGGGTGAGAAAATTGTATAATATGTAGTAGCCAAATTGTGGTTGATTGATTAGATGCGAGATTGGGTTGTTTCTGATGATGATATATCACATTGTACATGCCTAACTAGTGCAACTTTCCCTGAGTTGTGGGGCCGTTTACTCATGTGCCAGCAGAAGGCAGATTCAGGATGCCTACATAAAGAAAAATTTAGCCTGCAGTTGAAGCTCATGTAGTTTGCATTGCTTTTGAGAAAATAATGTTAGGGTTTGCCCAATCTTCGTGGGTAGCAGAACCAAGTCTGTGATTTTGTGGTGGATGGTCATTGGAAGAATCGTGTGTCTGCAGACTGCAATGTATTTGTGGAGTGGAGAATGATAACGTAGTTGCGTTTGGCCATGTTCAATATAAATGATTGAAGGCACCATCTGGGGGGAAAGTAGTTGCTCATCGATAATGTTGAAGCCAAGACTGCCAGTGAAAGCAATAATGCAAAAATCATTTCGGACGCTACTTTCCAGCCCACGATGCTTCCCTCTTCCAGCTCCGAGGGTATCCTTCTCCACTTCCTTTCCCTCTGATTTCTCTCCATGGTCGGGCCTCCAATCCTGGAGACGAGCTCCGCTTAACGAGGATCGATTCTGGGGACCGAACGGCCCCAAGCCGCTTCTCCCTCCAGACAACGACGGCGATGATATCCCTTTTGCTTCAGCCGTGGCTTCCGCATCGTCACTCGCCGAGCTTGGTGCTATTGTCCTCTCCACCGCCGACCCACTCGCCAAGTCCAAGCTTTCTCACCGTGCTTTCGCCCGGTGGGCCGATGAAGGCCTGCCGATTGGCTGCCACACCCCGCCGGACCGCCCTGCCCGCCCGCCCCAACCTCAGCTGGTCTCTCCCAAGGAGATCCCGGCTCCGCGTGACTCCGGGCTGCCCCTCAACGCTTACATGCTTCACAGTCTAGCTCATGTCGAGCTCAATGCCATCGATTTGGCGTGGGATACCGTCGTTCGGTTTTCTCCCTTCGCCGAGATTCTGGGGCAAGGCTTCTTCGCCGACTTTGCCCATGTCGCTGACGACGAGAGCCGCCACTTCGCCTGGTGCTCTCAGAGGCTTGCCGAGCTCGGTTACAAGTGAGATTCCTGAGTCCTCACTGCCGCTTGCACTCTATCGTTTAATGGTCTGCTGAGTGAATTTTGTTCTTGGGCGGGTCCGAAGATGAAACCTCATTTCTGTGATTTTAGGTATGGGGATATGCCAGCTCATAATCTCCTGTGGAGGGAATGCGAAAGATCCTCCGATGATGTTGCTGCACGACTGGCTGTCATCCCGCTTGTGCAGGTTTCTTCTTTCAGTAAATTATAATAATGCTCTATGTTCAATAGGAGTGTTTGAATCAGTGGCCTTTAATTTGTTCTTTCCCCCTGCATTCACTCCTTATCCGAGTACTTGATGGTTTCTACCGTGGTTGAGCCAGAATCTCTTTTCCCGGAAATGAGAAAGTTTCGTATTAACGTTTGTTTGGTTCTGCTGGAGTAAGAGTGGCTTATGCAACTTCTTCAACAATGTTCATGAAACACCATATCCTGTGATCCTGTATTTGCAAACTGGTAATTCGTCTCTCTTGAAGAAGAACCATAAGTACTTGGAAGAGTTGTCGCGTGTCCAGTTGACTGCCACCGTTTCAATCAATCTCTAATTATGGGAGAAAGCTGACGCGGAAATACCTATTTCTGCAATTGTCCTAGGAAAGATAAGCCTGGGGATGTGGTGGGTCGAGCTTGTGCATATATGAATGTTACTGCTCCGCAGTCACTCTTGACATGTTTGAGCTAGTCTCCTTTCTACTTCTCTGCAAACATATGGTGAAGGTAATAATTTTGCATTTCTGTTGGTATCGATGCCAGGAGGCTAGAGGACTTGATGCTGGGCCTAGGCTTGTGCAGAGATTGGTCGGTTTTGGGGACAACCAGACATCGAAGATTGTGGCTAGGATTGCAGAGGAGGAAGTTGCTCATGTAGCCGTTGGGGTTTACTGGTTTGTTTCTGTTTGCCAGAAATTGAACCGTCCCCCTTCCTCCACTTTCAAAGGTATACACACCCCAGCAACCCTTCTGAGAAATGGTTTGCTTTGTACATAAGCTTCCACAGTAAGAAAGATGGCGCATCTAAAGCATTTAAGAATATGAATTCCATTTCTTGGTATGAACGCAGAGTTGTTAAAGGAGTATAATGTTGAACTGAAAGGGCCTTTCAACTATTCAGCTAGAGACGAAGCTGGGATTCCCCGTGACTGGTACACCAAGTAATCCATTATTGATTCTTCACGATGAAGCTGTGAATAGAATCGTTTCAAACATATATTTTTGCCTTGTGGACTTGTACAGGTACGATGCGTCATATGCAAGTAAACAGGGCCAGAGTGAAAAACATAATTCAAATGAGCAGCTCGATGTGGTATGTTTCTGGGTGGCTTCGATGCTTCTGCTATCTTTTTGAGTTGCATGGAAAACACAATTATAATCCTTGCCAACCATCCCCCAGGTTTATGAGAGACTTGCTTCCATTGTAGCCATGGAATGCCAGAATGCAGACCTGGATGGTCAGCATGGGTGATTGGTTAGATAAAAAAAAGAAAAAGCAGCTTCCAATCTGAAAATTGGCTGATCCAAAACATCGACTCATGTTTGCTGGGTTTGGAAACTAGTAGAACTAGAACCACCGAGAATTTTGTTAAGTGGTGGTCTCTGTGTATTTCCCACAGTAAATCTTTAGCTGATGCAGCCGGTGTTTCATCATGTGTAAGTAGTATGAAAAGTTTGGTCGTGTTTTATGGCTCGTTACAACGTCACGGGGGTAGGCAGCGCCGCATAGGCCTCGTTTATGTATATTTGTTAACGGTCATGGTTGTCAACTTCATGCAGGTCCATGTAGCTAGGGTGCCAATTGGTTGTATGTCGGTTAATTATTAAACGATTTGACGGTTAGTGGTTAATTACCAAACATAAAATGTATACTGAAAATTGTAGTGGTTAGTTTGACGATTAACTACTTGTTGTCTGTTCAGTTAACAGTTAGTTTGAAGATTAGTTAGTACTCGTAATGGCAAATACGAGCGCATAATTCTAGATAGTATGTTTTCATAACTTTCTGTGATGTTTAAATATGCTTAACTCATTGTAAGTTATAATGGTGAAGATTTGTTAGCAGTATTCAAGGAAAACTATTTCCTAGGAGATACTACCATTTAGTTGTTGGAATCCGGTCATCGTAGTATGGCATTTCTAGTTTTTTTTTGTTTGGTCTTATAAACGGCCTGTGTTATTTCATATTTTCATTAGTGCGAAATAATAAAGGAGTTCATAAGAAGTTGAGACACAAGGAAAATCGGGGGTCATAGAGCACAACTCTTACGCTAGTCCCAACTATAGGTGGTGTGGGCCATAATGTGGACTACCTGGTCTCTAGTTCGGTTTAAGAATCCCCCGACAATCCGTCTTGATCTCTCATGAAAAGAAACCATTCTCCTCCGCCACGACATTGATCTTAAACTTTGTCGTTGCTGGTGATACCCATCTGTATTCATGCTTTGGATTCTCCGCAGCTCGAGCTTTTTGATAATTTAGGTATTCCAAAAGCAATCATTCTGCTTTGCCCATTATCTCAAGTTTCTCCAATTTTTTCTTATTGCACAACCGACCGTTATGCATGGACCAACGTTTGTGGGATGGCGGTTTGGGCCTCTTCCAACCTTCCGATTTTTCTCCAGGAGACTTCTCTTGGGATTAAACGACTCCATCTTGATCCAATATTTGATGCAAATTTACCTCGATTATATTTTATCTTGAAAAGCACAAAGTAGTACCATAAATGCAAAAAACAATACAAAACGCAACCAATGTCTAAAATAAGCACGTTGACCAAATAATTACAAAATTAAAAGAAAATATAACAAAACTACTAAAGATACATTATTATTAAGTGGAATGTATCAAATATAGGACCTTGAGAACACTATAATTTTAGTGTTATCACCTGTTGCAGTGGTCTTGTTAGATAGAAAGTTTTAGTTTGATGGCCATTAACTAGTATAAAGTAAGAGACAGTAGAAACACAATTCATTATCATGGCCACCTATATATTTGCAAACCCTAGTTTCTTCATCATAGCTTCCAAAAACGGTCAGTATACTCTGTCATAGGCTTTGACAATGTCTAGGTTCACTGACAAATAACCTTTATTTTCCCGAGTTCGTTCCTTCATTGAATGAAAACACTCAAAACCCACCATAACGTTATCAATAACGAGTCTGACAGCTACAAAAGAACTCTGGAACTCCGATATAACTTCATTTTGAATTCCTTTTAGTCTATTTGCAAGCACTTTAGACAATATTTTATTTAACACCTTGCATAGCCTTATAGGACTGAAGTCAATTGGGAATTCCACCAATATCTTCTCAAGTATTAGAGCCAATAGGGTATGATTGAGGGATTGAGGGATCGAGGGAAACAACCTGTATCCAAAGAATGAGTAACAAAAGTGAAAGGAAGAAAAAGAAGTGAAAAATGCAATAAAGGGGGCAAATAAGAATAGAGAGTTGCTACAAGATGTTTGTGCTCTAGCAAAGAAGGTTTGCTTGGAATGTTGTTCATGATTGGTTATGTTTTGGGATTGGTGGAATGTTTGGCTAATGGTTGTTGTGAGTGGATTTGTGTTGCTTTGATAGGTTCTAGATGAATTATGGAACCTCATGCTTTATGTGCCACCACCCAAGAAGACTTTTCCCCATGTTGACCCTAGCAACTCACCTGAACCCATGTCTAAGACCTTTGGAGCTCTAGAATTTAGAGGTTATCATCATGGTGAAGAGACCATAGGGATGAGTGTTGAGTATGCACATCTTTTGCATCAAATGGTCCAGTCCTCACCGGTCGAGAGTGAGTGATTCATTCATTCCTTTCTTGTTCATATATTCCTTGGTGAGGACCTAGTTTGCTCATTCGTTTGTTCATATGACATGATCTTTATTCATGGATAATTTTGGTTGGAGATTCGTCATTACAAGATATGTGTTGGTTTGTGAACAGAGTGATAACTTTTCGCTTGCACGTTCTTAATGCATTCGAATGTCATTTGTGGTGGTTGCCAGGATTGCTTGTTATTGTCCTTATGTCGGTGCCAAATAGACATTGAGATCCATCCACTTTGTGCCCTTTGACATGTCCCCAAGTTATTATGTTTAGGTTGAAATATTACCTTGTTTGAGATTGGTTTGCTTGGGGACAAGCAAACGTCCAAGTGTGGGGGAGTTTGATTCGGGCTTAATCACGCATGTTTTCACCCCATATTCTTGTGATGTTTGAGGCGTTTACATCGCCCGAGGTTCAATTTTAAGCTAGGTTGTGCATGTTTTAGCATGTTTCAGGTCTTAGCAGGTGGAATTAATCTCGGGAGCGAGAGTAGAACAAAAAAGGGCAAAAGTGGAACAAGATTGACAGAAAACTAGAGATCACGTACAACGCCCTATTATGAAGGGTGGGAGACCGTGAAGATCGACGGGATCCAGGAGCTTTTGCATGCCTCGCGGGAAAGTCAAAGATCACAGGCACCAGACGTGACAATTCCGCCCCGGCCGTGAAGTTTCTAAATGAAACAACGTATTTTTGCTCGGGATCACGGGCAGGCTACCAAGATTATGGGTGTGATAATCGACCATGACAATCGCCTGACTGGAGTATAAAAGGAGGAGTGAGCTGAAACCAAGGGAGAAAAAATTTGAGAGTGAGATTGGCTTCTTCTTCTTGAGATAAAGAGAGAAAGTCACAAACCAAAGGAGGAAGGAGTTCTTGACCTACCCAAGACTTGAAGAGAGGAGATCTCTCCTCCAAGGAGGCAATCCAAGCACCTAAGGTTGAAGAGAAGCATCTTACCATGGGTTTTCTCTTCTTCTTTGTTGTATTCCTCTTCTTAGTCATGGAGTAGTTCTCCAATTCACTTGGGTATTGTGAACCGTAGTATAGAAATGAGATAGGTTGTATGAATTGAATGCTATGTTTGTGGGTTTTTGTGTAATAAAATATTTGAGGTATTTTTCATGATTCTTGAGTGGTGTTCATCATATCTGATTTGGGTCTAAATGCACACATTTTACCCCTCATTTCTTGATAGTTTGACTTTGCATTTCATTGTCTCTCGACCTATTTTACGCTAGGGTGTGCTTGTTTTATCATATTTCAGGTCCTAGCACGTGTGAGAAGGTCGAGGACAAGTTTTGGGTCGATTGGAAGTCGAAAAGCGCGAAAAGTGCAAAAGTCCAAAGACAATTGCCCTGGGACTGTGAAGTGCGGAGGTTCTAGCACATTTTTCGATCTCACTGGACTCAAGCCGGTTCACGCTAGTAAGATCGTGAACCGAAGCCAATGACCATGCACTGAGTTAGTGAAGCGACGGATTTTGGCCCGAGATCACGGTCCCCACCTTGAGTTCACGGCTATGAACTGGGACTGTGATTTGAGGCCGATCTGGGTATAAAAGGGGTAGTGAGCTGATGGAGAAAATGGGCTTTTTCTAGGGTTTTAGTTTTCAGAATAAAGGAGGGTTTCTAGTGAGAGATTAGGATTTCCTCTTTCTATTCTAGAGAGAGAAAGTGTCATTCAAAGAAGGAAGAAGGAGATTGGCTTGCCCTTAGCTAGAGGAGTGAAGATTCTTACCTCTCAAGGGAGATTCAAGCAAGAAGGAAGGAGGATTGTCATCTCTTCATGGTTCTTTCTCTAATTTTTCTTGTTTTCCTTTGCCTAGCTATGGAATAGCCTACCTATTCACTTAGGTGTTATGAACCCTAGCTTGAACTATGTGATAGATTGTATGGATTGACAGATTTGAGTGTGGTTGTGTTTAATGTGAATGTGGAGGTATTATTCATGAATGATTGTGTTGTGTGAAAGCCTATCAATCTAATTGCCATTCTAACCTAGGTAGAGAGAAAACCTCTTCCTTTCTTTGAAAGAGGCTTGAATGTTGGGTTTTCTTAGGCGATTCGTTGTCTCCTATATAGGTTAATGCAGGGCAAACCTATTATTTCATATTACCACCTAGGGTTTGGTTTTGTGTGGCCTTCCGAACTCCGATTCGATGGTGGAGTCTATCCAACCCTTAGTCAATAGGTCAAGAGAGTCACGTTGGTGGCTTGGATCAAATTTCCTTCCCTCGACCTAGAGACCAAGAGAGTGGCACTTGGCTACTTGTTGCACTTCCCTACGGTTTACAATCCCCTCACCACACGCGACCATTCGATCCAACAAGTCGTAATTGTTAGCTAGTGGGAGCAATACCCGGGTGAACTCTTCTCTCATTGAGACAACCTCGATTTACTTACTTGCTTGTTTTCATTTGTAGGTTTCTTAGTTTTAAATAAAAAAATGTTTGCTAGATAACAAACTAAGCGATTGAAGTAGGGGTACATGGACCGGCCCAGGTTTGACAATTAAAACATACTCGCCCTATACTGCACCCGGCTAGAGTTTATGCTTGAGCTCTAGTCGTGATTAATTCGCGGTGTATCCGTGGTGAATCAATATCTCAAAGTTAGGTAAAATTGGCACAGGTGGAGGAAATCCCCATTTGGGCCTTAAGAAGCTAGATTTCTTGACCAATTGGGTAATCCCATCCAAAGTGGTTGAGGGTAAGCCTCAAACATCTGATTAGTGCCATGAACCTATCATGATTGGTTACTTTTCCACCGTTCCAGATTAGTATCCGGGGGAGTGATCTTAGAAATCATTAGTCGATTAGTCAAGAGAGCTAGTCTCCTAGCTTATGTCGACATTCCTTGATTAATTGTCGACGAGAGTGGGGTTTCCCCAATAGTTGCAACCTCCTCACGGTTTATGATCACACCTTTCCACACTAGCATTCCATTCAGTTAACCTTCATACGAGACTAGAGGGAGCAATACCCAGGTGAAGCTTTCTCACATCGAGTTCATCGCAATTTACTTTCTTTGCTTGCTTTCAGTTGTAGTTCTTTAGCTTTAACTCCAAACCGTTAGCTAGATAAAAATTCAAATGATTGAAGTAGGAGTACATGGACCTCCTCGGGTTGACATTTAAAACACTTGCCTTATACTACACCCAACTAGAGTTTGCACTTGGGCTTTAGTCGTGATTTAATTGTGCAGTTAGGAACGAGTCATTCAAAAAGAAAAAACCAAAAAAATATAAAGATGTCCAAATCAGGAGAACAAGTAAATTGTCCATCAAATAGATCGATTGAGTGGGTATAATGATATATTGAAGTACTGATAAAAGGAATCGCCAATTATGTGGTCTCGCACTACATCATCTCACTGTAATCAAGATATTAACGTACCCTAACGTGACATGTTACAGTAATTTAGTTACCACCTAATTTGAGATGATTTCAAAAAAGTTAGAGGATTTCATTTATTAGTGGAAACAAAATTTCCTCGTCGTACTTCAGAAAGCAAAATGGAATGTCCATATCATTAGATCATGCGAATTTTATAATCACACATATAAAAGGTCATAATTTGGATAATATTCATCATCAAACAATGACTTTGTTTATTTTTCAACAGTTTAATCCTGAGAATCATGTTACATATATCATCTAAACTTCATCATCATATTATTCACTCATTAACTTCATGAAAACTGGGAAATCAATACATTCTTTTCAAGTGACAAACTAGAAGGTGCGTCTGTTATACTACCTCTCACAACATCAAGTATAAATTATTGTAATTCGATGCTTCCAAAATGTTGATAGATTTCATTATGAGGAAGACACATTACAAATACAAAAATAGAATTGACACATGCTGGCACAACACAAAGTTGTTGCTTCTCGTGATCATGTCACTGAATCCGATTTTATTCGGGCTAGCTTCTTCCTTGTTCCCCCTGTATTGTACCATTTCATGTTTTTATAGAACTTGATACCACCAAGTAACAATACTGTTTTGTGTCCACACATTTCCTCCCCAAGTAGATATATCAGCAAGGATATGCATCCTCTGGGTATTGTTTTCTTTCATCCTCATCTATACTTCAAAACTTTGAAGCTCATTTCTCAGAGTCTGTGTTGCAGTTCATATCCTGTTACAAATGTAAACCAAAACAGTTGCCACGAGCATCTATCCACGACCAACATAACATGCAAAAGACACAAAGATTAAGTAGATATAGGTTTTTCCCTTACAATTTTCACAACCACACAGTGGTCAGCTAGCTGATACCCTTCGTTCTTGCTACCCCATTTCTCAGCAGGGCTTCTATCAAGTGCTCTTTCAATTGCCTTGTTGGCCTGCATAATATAAAGCCAAAAAAGCAATGCAATCAATCAAACCCCATAATCACATTTAAGGAAAGTAGTGGAGAGAAGACTATATGTATATATAATGCAGCAACCGACCTCTTTTTCCCAATCTGTGCGACATGTTATCGTAATTAACAAAATGTTCTGCAAAAGTGAACCAATTTGAATCCCGATCCATAGTCCTGGCCCCCTCAATTGCATCCAGAACCCCAGGATGGCTGAAAGGGGAACTCCACAAATGTAGTATGCCGTGAGATTGACATAAGCACCCAGGTTTTGCCAACCGCATCCCCTAGCAACCCCTGACAGTGTCACTCGAACACTGTCTAGTATGACAGATAAACATATCAAAGGAGCCATTGTTGTCACATATTCTACAACTTCCTCATCATTGCTGAAAACATGGCCCAATACATGTCTGCAAGCGTACATCACTGAGCTTACCGTCAGTGCTTGGGCACACGTGAGGAACACTGAAGCGCTCACTGACACACATGCTGCTCCAGGGTTCCCGGCACCCAATTCGTTGGATACTCTTGTGCTAAAAACAGTGTGTAAAGGAACAAATTAACAGAACAAGGTAGGTTCAGTGAGAAGGCTTGAAGTTGGCGATGCATTTAACTGAAAGTACAAACCTTACTGCGGCCCCAATGCCTTCAGGTATCGTATAGACTGTCGCCATGGTTGCTAGGCTGCCAAGAGATACCGTCCAAACAAATGAGATGCCACTTAGTCTCTCAAACTATTTGCAGCCATGATTAGAATTGCATTACCATAACGAGAGGACCGAGGTCTCAAGCTTAGGGTCCGGTAACAAGCCCGACATGAATATGAGTAACTCGAATGACCACCATTCTAGGCTGCACACCATAAAGAAGCATCGCCATGGCCCTCAAGTGTAGGAGGCATTTTATCGAACATGTAGAATAGAAGAGAATTTGAATGCTTATAAGACCTTACCAAATCATTCCAGCGGAAGGAATTGCATAGCGGAAGAATTCCCCTACTCCTTGAATGAGCTCCATGGACAAGGGGACTCTGGTTTTGTCACACTCTGGGGAGAACATGTGGAGCGAGAGTAGAATGACGTTGAACCAATACGAAATCCCAATTGCGAAAGCAGCACCATGGCTACCAAGCCCTGCACCGAAAACTAATACCCAGCAGAGGATAATGTGAAAGCATAGGGTAAGAGTGGAGCTCGTGATCAAGGGATTCGTCAAACTCTGCATCTGGAAGTAGCGGACCAAGGCTTGCAACGTGGCGTAGGCGAAGAGTGCGGGAATCAAGCAAATTGCAAATTGTCCAGCCTCGTGGGAAATCAATGGGTTTTGTCCGATCAATAAGAGCAAATCCTCCATGTAAATCCACAACACTGATATTGGAACGCACACCAAATTGACAGAGAATACTGCCGTCTGGACTCGAACCCCAAATTGTCGGTACTGCTTGGCTCCGTAAGCTTGACCGCATAGTGTCTCCAAGGCACTTGCAATTCCACACTTGATAAGAAAAGGAACACGATAAACAGAGGGAAAACAATCGATGGGCAGAAATTGGGGCAACGAGAAATAATTTACGTACAGTGGGGCTGAAGCCCGTGACACTGGCGAAAGAGATGGCGATGGCAGAGCTGGAAAGCGAGAGTTGATCTCCGATGTGACCCACCATTGTGAGCGATATGACTAGCAAGAAATACTGTGACAGATTGATAGTGATTAGAGGAGCGGCCAAGAAACGGAGGCTTTTCACTTCCGCCATGAATTCGTTGCAGGACCATCGGCGGTGGGATTTGCTCTCTTTGCTAATTTCTTCCGGGTTAGTGATTTCATTGTCGTTTTGACCACCGTTTTCACAAATGTGATTACCAAGGTGCGCATGTTTGAGCGGGAGTGTTTCTTCCACGTTTTGATTTTCATCATTTGAAGCGAACGTCATCATCTTTTTTTTTTCCAGCAACAGAGATGAGATTAATAATCAGTGAGAGATTGTGGAGAATGGGATTGTGGAGAATGAATTGTGGTAATTGGATTTTCAGAGGGAGATCTGTGATCGATAGAAAATCCGAGCAGGAGCCTCGCGGTGTTTGCGTGGGAATTTGGTGGTGCAAGGCTTGGTTGGTGTCATTGCTAATATAGTAAAGTTGTAACACATAGCTAATAAACTGGGACGTTCATTGACCACTTCCCTTATAATACCTTTTCTAATTTCAAATGAGAGAGCTACCCTTTATTTTCCCAATTTCACATTATAACTTAGTTAATTTTTGTTTGTGAGATATTCTTAGTTCACTAGCATTGGCCCGCCCCATTGGCCGATGAATTTAACTGCGACTATTATTGTGATATTGCAGTATATAAGTACATCATATAAGTAAAGCAAGTCCTCAACATTGTGGCTGTCATGACACATCATCTAGGACTTCTTTATTTCAAAATCGAGAACTAATTTGAATATATCTTTATTTGAAACTTAGATATCAGGTTAGACAAACAAAATTCATAGCATTGTGGCTGTTGCACCATATCTTCTGCCTTTAGTTATGCCCTTACCAATTTCCTCTTCCTTTTTTTTTTATAATGGTGAAAATCAATCTCCTCTAACTAAGTTGGTGCAAAACCTGTATACCATGTAAGTTGGTTAATCTCGATAGGTTAGAAGATCCAAAGTTCATAAATTTCAGTCAAACGATTAGGAAATTATCCCTACGACAAACCAACCTCATCATAACTGCAAGTTGGCAACATTCCAAGAATTAAATTTTGTGATACAACTTCTCTAGCTATTGCGGCAATGGAGTGAACTAATAATGACATCTGCTTTTGCTTCCACCAAATTACAAAGGAGGAGCACGTATGGTAATGAAATAGTGCAGGAAAAAAAAAAGAGATGTTTGGAAGAAAGAATGTTACTCCTAGGCGTTTCATATTAAGAGTTATATACTTCACGACTTCATCGAACTTTCTCCCAGTTACTAACTTTGATGTGTTCAAATAGTCCGAAAATTTATCCTTGGACTCTTCTTGGAGCTTCGTGGTCCACATTTGTGCCTCACCAGAAATCTGAGTAGTTTATAGCCACTCTTACTAACCTTTTTTGAAATGGCGAGAAAGCAACCTCACAATCTTGCAATATCTGTTATCATCAATCACCAAAAAATTGATCCATAAAAAGCAATCTCCTAGCACTAGCAGGAAGACCTGAGGATCCCCGAAAAGATAATAATAACTAATAAATGAACCAATCGGTCTCAGAAGCTTTCGCAATTTGGTCAATAATATAATTTAGGGGCGTATGGTAAAGATTACTTAGCAAGAACATTCTTACAACAAGTGGAGGATACTTCTCACTAACCTGTTTAAGTTGAACTTAATTTGAGAGTCATCCTTCCAGGAAGAGGACAACAATTTCATGTAAAAAGAATGACATTTTACCCCTTTCGAAATCTGTAACTGTTAAAGTGATCACCCCGGCTTAGAGTAAAATCCTTTTCTTGTGTGCATGGAAAGCCAAGATATATAGGATCAAAGGGTGATTAATAATATGATGGAATGATTCCATGTGTGAGATAGAGTAATAAAAATGATGCACCCCAATTCCTAACTTCAACAATTGCAAGTATACCATTATTATGCTTGCAGTATAGTTGCTCGGTCGTATTTTCAAGAGATCGCCAACACCCTAACTTATTATCGTTAGGTTGGACTATTATCTAATCGACAATTGTTTGTTGATGGTACTGAGAAACTACTAGTACTAGAAACAAAGAGGAGACGATACTCGGGACAAGTTACCCTCACCCTCACTAAATTGGGGTCAGTGCACTGATCATGTTTCCCGACCCCACTCCCAACCACGTCCACCGGCCTGTGATTCACTTCCCGATTCTGCTCGTAGCGGAACTATAATTTCCATGACAAAATCACACATCAATAAGTTTTACAAAGATTTATGTGGAATTCAGTTAAGTTGTCATTTCTTATGTTAACAAAAGCTGACAAACTTGACCTAATTTTGATCGCCCAACAAATCAACTAGAGCAAGAATGCAATTTTCATTGTGTGATCCACTTACAGGTGGACAGGAAGGATGGTTTGGTTTTATTTCCATTGTGCAATTAATAATGCTAAGTGGTTTGATAATTTTGGGTTCTCATCGATTAAATTTTATACATATTTCCAAATGCTTCATGTCTCGTCTCGTATCTCCCACCCACTTGATTTCTACCAGGAACTTAAAATACCAGTTTGTTTATAATTGAAAGGTGGATACGTTTCTTATAGGTAACCCCTGGACGGCCTTTCCCATTGAGACAAACTGGGAAGTGGGAACTCCGTTGTGTTTTCCTTAATACGGAGAAGCAGTTCACATTTGTGAAAACTAGCCATCAACTTTGGTTTTATGTTCAGTAGAGAGATCACATACCTAAACCCATTCTATACAAAACTAGCCATCTACTCTGCCCTTTGCCAGTATTCTAACCATATTTCAACCTGAAAATGGTTTTCTTTTACTGAAATCGACTCCTAACCCCCCCCAGAAAAGTTGCAGGCTTTCTACTATGTTATCTTAAAATTTCTTCTGTATACCCATGGTGTTTTGATACATTCTCCTTTCAACCAGCACGTTCAGTCTCATTCTCAAACCAAAAAGAGAAAAGAGTAGCTTATATGGCCATTATTTCCTCCAACTTGAACAATTCCTGGAAGCTCTGCATATTTGGCAGCTTCATTGGCTGCTTTCTCACTTTGCTCTGTCTAGATTACAATGGCTACAGCAGCTTCGACATTGTTTCGGGTGTTTTACCATCCGGAAATCCCATCTTCGGTAGATTCTTCAAGCCCTTGAAGCCACCCTGTGGAGAAGGAGGCTTTATTGTCAAGTATCCGACGTTGATGAGTGGCGACGATGAGGAAAAACAGGACTTTGTGGTTAACAATCAGACTTCCATGAGTACTGGTGATGATGAGGAAAAACAAGACATTGTTGTTAGTAATCAGACTTCCATCAGTACTGGTGATGATGAGGAAAAACCAGAGGTTGCTTTTATGAATCGGTTGTCGGAGGGTAGTAATGAGGAGGACAAACTCACCAAGAAGGAGAAGAAGAAGAAGAACTTGTTTGACGGAAGATGGGTTTATGACCCAAATGGAAACCCTGATTACAGAGTGGAACAATGCCCATTTCTTAGCGGGCAAGTTAGCTGTCAGAGAAATGGAAGGCCTGATTCTCAGTACCAGAAGTGGAGCTGGCAGCCTGAGGGATACAGCAACTTCCCAAGGTTTAATGCCACTAACATGCTGGAATTGCTGAAGGGGAAGAGAGTGGTAATAGTTGGAGATTCTCTCAATAGAAACCAATGGGAGTCTCTGGCTTGCCTTCTCTACTCTGCTTTACCTCCATCAAGATGTCATGTCGGTGTTGTTCGCAGCGATTACAAGGTCTTTAAATCTCTTGTAAGTGCCCAGATCCAGTCTTTGTCTGTAGCAGACAATTGAACAACAAATTGAGGAGAAGGGTTATATATAATTTGGTGATGGTGGTTGGTTGCTTCTGCACAGGATTACAATTGCTCTGTGGAGTTCTTCTGGAGTCCATTTTTGGTTCAGCTGGAAGAGTCGAGGGGCCCAAGACCCAGAAACAGAAGAAGAAGAATTCTGAAGCTGGACAAGATTTCAGCTTCAGCTCCACTCTGGCTAGGGGCTGATATCATGGTTTTCAACTCTGGACACTGGTGGACTCACCCTTGGAAAATCAGAGCGTAAGCTAGCTTTTCACCTTCTAATAATTGCTTCTCCGGTCTTTCGTGTTTTGGCTGCAAATGCAGAGGTCATACAACTATTTGCTGCAGGTGGGATTTCTTTGAGAACAATGGGAAGTTGGTGAAACAGATGGAGATAGAATCTGCGTTCCAGACGGCCGTTTCAACTTGGGCCAAATGGATCGATCACAATCTGAACTCTTCTTCTACCAAAACAAGTGTCTTCTTCAGGAGCATATCCCCAGAGCACAAAGTGCAAGGCTGCTCCAATTCCACAGAACCGCTCGATGGATCGTATGACGACACATTCCCTCATCAGCTGACTGATATCGTCACAAGAACCATTGGCAGCATGAGGACACCAGTGAGGCTGCTCAATGTTACAAAGCTCTCTGGGTACAGAATCGACGCACATCCAGCAATATATTCTCGCAAGCAGGACCAGACATTGATTCGCCCTGATTGCAGCCACTGGTGTTTGCCTGGACTGCCTGATACTTGGAACACCCTCATCTATGCAATGTTTACCTTGGACCGCCAAAACCAGAATTGAACTGTTTCTTCCTTCAAATACTACAAAATTCCAGAAATTTAGGGGTACTTGTCATCTCACGCAACTCGCATAGTTTAATCTTTTCATGCATCCTAAGAAATAGTCCCCGTCCCGTACCACTACGGCATTATTTGCATGCCTCTTACCGCAATATCAAAATCGACTGTACTCGTAACAGCTCAAGTGATTAACAAATAAAATTAGTAGCAGCAGCAATCTGCTGTTCTGAGAGCAGTGTTATTTAGCAACTCTAACAATACAATTCTACCTTCATTGTTGAATGGTGGCACAGCATAATATTAATCACCTTTTATATGTACACAAGTGGAGGCTGCATAAGCTCTGGAATTATGTTGCATACATGTATATTTTTGTGTGTACATAATAAATTGATATCTTGGTACCTAAATCACCTCCCATTCAGCTTCAAGGGCCTGGGATTTGGTAGCTTCCACACTGGTAGCACCTGATGAACTTATCCCAACAGACTTCAATTCTGCAAGCTTGTCATGTTGCTGCTTCCTCAATGCCCTTAAAACAGCCCTTATTCTCTTCTGGGAAATAGAATAATGTTTTGAGGTAAGCTACCATCAGAATACCTTTTGGTCATCTATTTCGGTAAGAAAAGGCTAACGAGCGATACCTTGTAAGGAAAACCTTTTCCCTTAGGCTGAGAAACAAAATCAAATTCATCTTCACTGACAACCTTGCATGTTTCCTCGAGCAATGCCGCGTCAACTCGTTGAGTACTTTCCATTTCTCGATCAATACAACGGTCCTCAACAATCATGTCTATATCCCAGTCACTGGGCCTTCCTGAAATGGATCCACAAATAAATGAATGATCAACACGGCATCATACATGCTGGCCTCCCTCAAGTTTCTTTTTCTTTGACTTGAGTCCAAAACTATGTTAAGATATGCTTCGCTTGGGATCTGATTATTCATATTATTATTGTATACACGAAATTGATTTAAACTAATTGTTGAGCTAAAAATGATTGAAATAAGGAGTATAACACATCATAATAACTTTTGTCTGGATGATAGGATGAAATCCCAAAACTGAAAGCCATGAGCAAACCAAATATTTTAGTCCCCTGATGAACTTAAATTCAAACCACTTAGATTTGTTTCCCTCGTCTGCTAGACCAGAAGATACCGAATCCACGCACGTACCTGAATTAGAAGCGTAGTCCTCTGTATAAGCAAATCTCCTGGATAGTGCACTTGCATTTGTCGAGGACCCATCTATAGTTGTCGAATCAGAACCTTAAGCAGAACTGCAGAAAAGCTTATTGCAAAGCCGGAGAAATAAACTTACCCTCAGAGACATAGATGCCATTTGATTCTGCTAAAGGGTTATCAAAAGGAGGAAATCCTGCATCCAAACACTCACAATACCCTAGCTCTAGGGCATTGGCTCTATCAGACACCATATCAACAGTTGAAGGAGCAAGCACCACTGCTTTTGGATCAACCACATCAGTTTTGCTTTCTTGAACAGGGTCATGCCCATAAATGTGGAGAGAACCTGAACTTGCAAGTGTAGGTTGCTGATCAAATGGTGCTTTGCGACTTATAGATGAGCACTTACGTGGCGAAGAATTAGTAGCAGGAGAGGCTAACCCTGACAAGTCATCTTGACATGTTGACTCCCTCTTAGAGCTCTTGATGACCCCCAAATCTAACATTCTTGACAGACTTCCTTTAGTAGATTTCCCTTGGACACCTCCCGCAGTGTCTCCTTGAAACAGAGGGAAAACATTATCTACATGGCGAAGGAAGGCAGGTGGAAGGTCTGGACTTTTGGCACCGACGCTTTTCAAAGGCTCACTCAACTGCCCCTTATCATGAACCTTATGATGATTGTTCCTCACAGTTGGTTTGGGCATCAAGAATATCCCCATATCAGGGTACACTTCTTCAGCCCTACCACAACCAGTCCCTTTTGCAGGATCTTCCGAGCCTGAGGGTAACAAATCCTGCATGACATCTGCATATAACTTCTTCATGCTAACACCAACTGTCTGCACTTGATTCTCAACAAATCTAACAGTGTCCTGTTCCAGCAAACAAAAACAAAAAATTGGGGGAGACCCAACTTAAAACTACAGCTCCTTCACTATAATGGAACAAGTAACGTTGACAGATTGCTCATTCCATTAATTGTGTAGAAAGGACTCCTGAATCAAATATTTTTTCCGCTAGAGCATTATAATTACACTGTACATCATGATTAAATGGAAGCTCACGGTAATTTTGATGTACATATTTCAGAGCAAGTGACCATAAAATCAAATGGAGCGAGCACATACCTCATACATAATTTCTTCCACTTCCAAACACATATCTTCGAACTTCTGATAGGCATCTCCGACCCAGGTGATGCCTTTCAGATCCATCTTGAGCACACTCTAACCGGGGAATCTGCTTAGCTGTTTAGCTAGACGGCACAATATGGTGAGATCCTAATCACTTCCAATTGGTTCTGCAAGACAACAATTTACAAACTTCATTAAGTTCCCCACAATAAAGTGAAAACAGTAATCCCTAGAAAAAGTTAGGCTCATAACTTCAACAGACCTTAGCTAAGAAGATGTAAGATACGGGTCCCTAGAAGAGTAGAGTTCTCCAAATGAAGTCCAGTAGCAAAAACCCAAAAGAAAGCTACAGTGTAATCAAGATAACAGGACCGTGCAATTTACTACGAAGAGATGTTCGTATATAAGTTACGGGACTTTCACCAACTGAGCACCCAACACAGATCCTACGAAGAACTATGAAGAGCAGAATGCAGAACTCTAAGAAATTTCTATATCGAGAAATTCCCGGCGATAAACCCACAACAAGGGAAAGCCCCAAAAAGCGACCAACTTTTACAACCCATAGAAATGAAAACAACTCTGGGCTGCTGTCAAAAGAACCCAGAGAAAGCAAACCTGGTCTAAAAGGTCACCCAACTTAGCAGGCAATCGAGAACAACAGCAGATTATGCGGATGGAAAAAGTACCCGCTAACTTTGACAAGCAAGGGCAGGGCGGAGATGGGAGGAGCACTTGCCTTACGATAGAGACGACACCGCGACGGGAAACGGAGGACTGAAAGAGCGAAAAGAAGACAGACGGTTTCTGATGATGGGCCACGGAAATTGCGGGTGCGATAACTTAACAAATAATAAAGCTGAGGGCTCATCCAAAAAGAGATAATAAGGCTGAGGGGAAGAAGGTCGACAACAAGCAGAGCTTTCAGGCAATTAGTACAAGGAAATGCCACAATAGAAAAAGCCCGAGGAAAGCAAACGAAAAGAAACGAAAGAAAGAAAGCGAATCATGCAAAAGCAGAAGCCAAGTGGAGGAAGGGTAGAAGGAAAACGAAATACAGAAAACAGAACAAGAGAGACGTGACGTACATCGGCCTGTCGTTTGCCACGTACGAGAAGAAACCTCTCACAAAAGCAAGATTCAGCAAGCTCCTGTAAAAAAAAAAAAAAAAATTGTAAAGCAAAATGAATATCATTTTGTAAAGTACAACGAACTCGTTCCATTTATAAAAAAAACTGAGTTAAAATGAAGAAAATATGATCCAATCAAGAAAACTAGGGAAAATAAATTTCTTTAATTCTCTGCCCTTAGATCTGCAGCCACCTAAAAGAAGGGTTTAGATTTGGTTACTCATAGTTATGCGCCATATCTTGAGCTGGTGGTGATAGGGTCTAGTTTGGGGTGCAGAGGGTTAGAGTTCAGGGTTTTTTATACAAATTAGAGATAGGGGTAAAAGCGTCCATTCAAACACATTTGGAGTTTCTTTCTATTGTGGAACAAGCTTGGAATATTGAAGTGCAAAGTTGCCCTTGGTATGTGATTCATTGTGAACTGAAGTCTGTGAAGAATGCGCTTCGCAAACTAAACAGAGAAGTTTACAATGATATTAGTGAGCAAGTCAGGCAGGTGGAGAAACAGTTAATGACACTTCACCATGAATCTCTTGTGCATCCTGATGAGGCTTCTTTCAGAGCAAGAGAGGCTATGCAAGTTCGGTATGATGAAGTACGGAAACAGGAGGAGAGCTTCTACTGGCAAAAGTCGAGGATTGGTTGGCTGAACAAGGGAGACAAGTGTAATAAGTACTTTCATCAAACGCTGAAAGTTCATAATTCTAAGAAGGCCATAAGGAAGTTGATCACTGAAGTTGGGAAGAGCTGGTGGACATTGAGTTGATTGCTGAGGAGGCTGTGAGTTTTTATAAGAACCTGTTTGGCGTGGTTAATCAAGAAGTGGTTGTGGATGTTGACCGTCTATGACCTCTGATCAAGAAAAAGTACCAGAGGAAGTCTCTCGCTTACTCTGTGCTCCAGTGCTGCATGAAGATATAAAGTAAGTTTTCTTTGAGCTTAATAGTCAAAAGGCGCCAGGCCCTGATGACTTTTCAGTGGCTTCTTCAATAAAGTTTGGCACTTAATTGGGGACGACATTGTTGCAGGTATTTTGGATTTCTTCTCCTCAAATAGAATGTTAAGTGGTATCAATGCTACAACGGTTTCTTTGTGTCCGAAAATAGCAAATGTTGATAAGCTAAAAGATTTCATACCCATATCCTGTATTAATGTGCTGTATAAATGTGTGTTGAATATTCTGGCCAATCGTATTAGGGCTGCAATGCCCCACATCATCATTGAGAATCAAACAACTTTTATCCAGGGCAGAAGGATAATGGATAATATTCTTTTGGCTCGGGAGTTAGTAAGTGGTTACCAACGTAAGCAGCTCTCTTCGAGGTGTGCCATTAAGGTGGACATCATGAAAGCTTTTGATTCAGTTAACTGGGAATATTTGTTTAAAGTGATGGAATTAATGGTGTTTCCAGTTCAGTATAGGGAATGGATTAAGGTCTGTTTATCTACTGCTCACTTTAGCATCAGTCATAATGGAGGGCTTTGTGGGGTTTTCAAAGCGAGGAAGGGGGTCAGACAGGGAGATCCGTACCTCTTTTGCATAGCTATAGAGGGGTTGTCAGGGCTATTGAATAATGCTGGCTCGACAAAGCTTTTGCCTTATCATCCATTATGTAGTAAGGTTGGATTAAATCATTTGAGTTTTGCGGATGATCTGCTCATATTTACTACGGGATCAGGGCAGTCTCTTCTTCATGTGAAGTCACTTCTCCAAGACTTTTACTATCTTTTTGGTCTAAAGTGTAACCCGGAGAA